ATTATCTTGAACAGACTCTGTCTATAGTTACTAGCATATATGTTATGAAGTAGTTGTAATGCATTTAAGTTGAACGGAAAAATAAATCCAAAAGAATAGGACCTAACTTACCTAATGACTTAAGCTATATTTAGTTCACCTTTATTTTATTTTATTTTATTTTATTATATTTTTTTGCTTATTTTGATATGATCTGAACCTATATTTTTTTTACTAAACTAATTAAATCAAATTAAAGTGAAACACATTAAAACAAAGCTAATTGAATCAAATGAAAGTCAAATACATTCAAAAAATGATTTTTAAATCAAATGAAAGTCAAACGCATTCTACAATGCAAATTGACTCTTATGATAGTCAAGCACATTCAAACAAAGCTTTTTGAATGAAGTAAAAGTCAAACACATTAAATGAAAACATTTTGAATCAAATGAAAATCAAATGCATTCAACAATGCTAATTGAATCAAATGAAAGTCAAACACATTCTAACAAAGCTTTTTGAATCAAATGAAAGTCAAATGCATTCAACAATGCTAATTAAATCAAATGAAAGTCAAACACATTGTAACAATGCTTTTTGAATCAAATGAAATTCAAATGCATTCAAACAAAGCTTGTTGAATCAAATGAAAGTCAAATGCATTCAACAATGCTAATTGAATCAAATGAAAGTCAAGCACCATGAAACAAAGCTAATTAAATCAAATTAAAGTGAAACACATTAAAACAAAGCTAATTGAATCAAATGAAAGTCAAACACATTCAAAAAATGATTTTTAAATCAAATGAACGTCAAATGCATTCTACAATGCTAATTGACTCTTATGATAGTCAAGCACGTTCAAACAAAGTTTTTTGAATGAAATGAAAGTCAAACACATTCAAAGAAAACATTTTGAATCAAATGAAAGTCAAATGCATTAAACAATGCTAATTGATTCAAATGAAAGTCAAACATATTCTAACAAAGCTTTAAGAATCAAATGAAAGTCAAATGCATTGAAACAAAGCTTTTTGAATCAAATGAAAGTCAAATGCATTCAAAAATGCTAATTGAATCAAATGAAAGTCAAACACATTCTAACAAAGCTTTTTGAATCAAATGAAAGTCAAATGCATTCAAACAAAGCTTTTTGAATCAAATGAAAGTCAAATGCATTCAACAATGCTAATTGAATCAAATGAAAGTCAAACACCATAAAACAAAGCTAATCAAATCAAATGAAAGTCAAACACATTAAAACAAAGCTAATTGAATCAAATGAAAGTCAAACACATTCAAAAAATGATTTTTAAATCGAATGAAAGTCAAATGCATTCTACAATGCTAATTGACTCTTATGAAAGTCAAGCACATTCAAACAAAGCTTTTTGAATGAAATGAAAGTCAAATACATTCAAAAAAAGCTTTTGGAATCATATGAAAGTCAGATGCATTCCACAATGCTAATTGAATCAAATGAAATTCAAACATGTTTAGGGTAAAAATACCCTAAGAGACGTGGCCCAATAAAGGCCTGCCACGTGTCAAGCTTGCAACGGTCAGCAAAGGCCCAATCCCTTTGCGACACGTGTCATTGTACCCTCATTGAGGTACAGTTCTCCCTACTATAAATAGTAAGGGCAGACCTCATTAATGGGGATCGAATCATTTTCCCACAAACCAACAAAACACAAATCCCCTTGCAAACGCTCTCAAATCGAGAAGCTTTTATTGTCTTATTTCCACATTTAGAAAGAGACTAACTTAACCTTCGGAGGCGGAACACCCCAGCCCCAGCCGGAGTATTCCGTTATTTGTGCAGGTACAGGCGAAGGAAGGAGCGTTCTAGGAAATTGTAACTCTCCCGTAGGACACTTAATAAACCCACAAACATCTGGCGCCGTCTGTGGGGAGAGTACTTTCTAGATGACTTCAGAACCGGTACAGCCGGGTAAAAGTAGTCAACCTGCTGGTGAGGTTGAGGTCCACTCGGACCAAGACACAGCCGACAATCATGAGATTGAAACCTACACAGCAGTCGACGGTTCCTTCAGAACCAAGCATACTCGTTCCAAAGACAAGAGGGAACGGGCAGAGCAGCAGGCAGGCCTTAATCATCCTACTTTGACCTTATATGTGTAGGATAATTCATAAGGAAAAATATATCACATGTGGTTGATAAGTCATATTTATATAGGATTTATAGGCACGTTTATGCTACTTTTATAGTTGCTTTAATTTTTAGGTCTTTTTGTTGCTTTTTAGGTTGAAAATGTATAGGTTGTTTGTTTTGTACTCTATTACGCTCCGTTTGTGTTTTTCTTAATGTTTCAGGTGATTTTATAGTCATTTGGACGCTTTCGAAGTGTTTGGAGTTGATTTGGATGATATTTGGATGGAAGCCAATGAATTGAGTTTATTAACCAAAGATCCCATGTTTGTGGATGTTGATTTTGATTATAGTGTGCATGGAAAATGGACATAGCATTCACAAGGATCACTATGTGCCTTTCCGAATTGAATTTGAGTTGAAAACGAAGTTAAATGATGATGAACGCTATGTCAAAACTGACCTTTGTTCACTCTTTTGACCATAACTTGAGTTCTACAGATCGGATTGAAGTGATTCAAATTGCATTGAAAATTAGACTTGAAGAGCTTTCTAAAAATAGGTCACACGCCTATATAAAATCTTTTCATCAGAAGTTACAAGCCTGTGAAGTCGACGGCGCCCAGCAGCGAGTGAGCCAGAGCTCGCGGGCTAGCTCGCATATGCCGAGAGCAACAGAAGCCCTGAGCGATAGCTCACTCGACCAGGGAGCTATAGCTCCGATTGACCCATGACATAAGAAAGAAAGGGGCCTCGCCGCATGTCCTTCGCTTGGCCCTCGATTCCATCGGGTACTTTATGCCACGTCATCTTCTATCGTCCAATGGTTTGACAACTTGTGTAATTTATATTTTCTTATTTCCTTTCTTTATTTATTTTTAGATTGGAACTTAAGGAATTAAAAATACTCAAGGGGAGATATTTTCTCCTTACGTTTGTTTAATTATTTTTATATGTTCATTTTCTTTTCTCTCTAGCCATAGTTTCTCTTGGGCAATTCCAATCCATGGATTTTTCCATGGATTGCTCTTGAGTTTGTTACATTAAATTATTAGAGGTATTTTATTTCTCTTTTTTAATTATGATTTCTTTATTAGATTTAGGTTTAATTATTTATTTCATGCTTGAGTAGTTTATTTCTAGGGTTTGGGAATCCATGTTAATTTATACAATGAATCTTGATTGATATTATTGATATTTTGATTATTAATTTCTTTAATTGATAATGTTTTATTGTTAATCTTGCAACCTGATCAATTGTTTGATTAGTTATTGTTAATAAGAGTTTGAATCGAAAGATCGCACTTTTAAAGGCTTACCTACAATTAGCAATTCTGATTATGTTAGCGATCGTACTACATATGTTGAATTGAGAGTGTTAAGACCCGACCGTTGGCTTAGCAATTTCTCTAGATACTTGTTTGATTGAATTGTTAATGGTATTTGATAGATTTAGAACTATAAGCATGGTGAACCATAACCTTAGGCCTTTTTTATTAATTGTGTTCGTTCTTGTTTTAGTTTAGACTACCTTTCTATCCCAATTTCTTGACATAGTTTAGATTCTCCAAATTCCCATAAGTTAGATTAAATAACCATCTCCTTGTGGATTCAACCCTACTTACCCTACTATATTGTTAAATGGTTTTGTTAGGAATTTATTTTTGACAGGTGTACGATAACCTATCAGCGGTCTTATTAAACGTGTATTTTCCAAACATGTATTTGTCATAATTCTCTTCATAATGAAATCTAAAATAGTACCAATGATAAAAAAAAAAAAAAAAAAAAAAAAAAAAAAAAAAAAAAATTGCATTCCGTAAATAAAATACTCCATAACATATAAAGTATGGTATGAACTTATTTTTCAAATAAAAACTTACTTGTTTTGATCTAAAATTAATAATACTTCCTCCATTTATTTTACTTATAACACATCATTTAGACATGTAGTTTAAGAAAAATATTAGATTAGGTAAATTGAATTAAGGGTTTTTCTAGGCTATACCCCTAAAGTAGTCGAGTTTTTAAGGTGTACCCATGCTTTTCAAGTTTCTAAGCTGTGCCCTTCAACTGCTTATCAATATTAAAATGTACGTTTATTAGTTGTTTAAAAGTTAATTGAGAGTGTGGTTTCGTGGCTTCAGTTTTCGTTATTCGGGTTGCGGTGGCTAAGATTTCTTTCTCCTATCATTTCCTTACCTTTTATCATCTTTTTTATTAAATTTATAGTTAACTTTAGGTGACGTGGAAGTCCCAAGGAGGGTATCATTCATTAATGATAGTGAGTTGAGGGGCACAACTTAGAAATTTGAAAAAGCATGTGTATACCTTAAAAACTCGACTACCTTAGGGGCATAGCTTAGAAAAACCCTTGAATTAATAAGAAGAATGTTACTCCATCTGTGTTTATTTAAATGTCCTAGTTTGACCGGCACATTTTCCAATGAACAATAATTATATCTTTCATTATCAATAATTATAAATAATAAAAAGCTGATATTTGGAAATAATGCTTTAAGACGATTATAACAAGTACTCATTGGTTATATTTTATCTTATGTATTAAGCACAAAAATTAGTCGGAGCAATGCATATAAATTAGGGGTGGCAAACGAATCAGGACAGGTCGGGTTCGTGTTCGGGTTTTCGGGTTTCGGGTCAGCTAACCCCCAACCTGAACCTGATCCATTTAAGTTTTTGGGTTGAAAACCCCAACCTGAGCCTGATATTTTCAGGTTCGGGTCAACCCAAAAACGTCCTGATTTGGCCCGGTTTTTATTTGTTTTTATTTTTAATTTTTTTTTTTACCTGAATAACCTGATTTTTAGCCTGATTTTGAGTTTTTGACTACTTAACAGTTAATAAAACCTGATTTTTTTTTACCTAATGTCTTCAAACTTGATTTTCAAACTTAAATTTTCAATAAAACCAAATAAAGTATAAGAAGTCTAAATGCCTAATTAATTATTACATACCAAAATAAAGTCTTAACAAATTACAAACCATAATTAAAAAGAAACAAATGTATTTAAAGTTACAATCTCCTGAATCTTCTCATATTCCTAGAAGAAAGCTATTGTACATGGGTGATGGGTGTCCATAACTGCTGCAAAAAAACATAACAAAATAAAACAATTAAAAAGACAACTCAAGAACAACCAAATTAGCAAGAACAACAAATCAGCAACATCTCAGGAAAAACAGCCAAAACAGCAAGAACAAATCAGTAAGAAAGCAACAAAAATTAGCAAGAAATCAACAACAAATCAGCAAAAATCAGCAAGAATCAAGAACAACAAATCAGCGAAAAACAAAAATTAAAAAGACATGCACAATACTTTTTCCCGTCAAACAACAAATCAACAAAAAATTTATCATATTACGATTATTAACCAAGAACATCAACACAATCGAATACAAAAACTGAAATAAAAAAAATTTAAAAAAAAACAACGAAAAAGTAAAACAGAAAAGTACCTCGGAAGCAGAGGAAGATTTGAAGATGAAGGTGAAAGATTTGAAAATGGAGAATTGCAGATCGACCGAAAAGTGTAGTTGAGGATATGAACAACAAATCAACAACATAAAATGTTAATCTTAATATCTGATTTGCAAATGTTAGAAAAAGAAAACAGAAATATAAATTAAACAACAAGTCAACGACAAATCTATCGATCTACGGATCTACCCTTTCCCGTAAAAAAAAAAAACAAATCAAAAATAGAAATTAACAACAAAAATCTTAGGCATATTAAGATTATTATCAAGCAAGAACAACAACAAAAATAAACAGCAAAAACTGTATTTAAAAAATAGAAAAAATCGAAACTAAAACAAAAAAACAATTAACAGAAAATTACCTTTGAGCTTTGACGGCTTGGAGGAGAAGTTGGAGAACCGAAGATCATTCAAAAAAATCGAAAATAGAGAACTTGAGATCGAAAAAAACAACCGAAACGAAAACAAAAACAATTAACTAAAAGTTTAAAAATTACCTTTGATCTATTAAGAGCTGAGACGTTAAGCTTGATTGCTTGAAACGATTTAGGGTTAGGGTTTTGAGGAGAAACAGAGAAACTGAGAATGAAATTTTTGAAGAGAGGGAAATGTAAAAACGGCTGAGATGAGATGAGAGGCTGAGAGAATGAGAGTGAGTGTTAGGGTTTCAAGCTCAATATAAGGCATTTACGGTTTTTGTTTAAAGATTTGGGCTTCGGGTTTGGGGCCTTGGGCTAGTAGTAGTTTTAGTTTTTTTTTTTTTTTTGTAAGACTTTTTTTTAAGGTTGGGTTCGGATTAACCCGACCCGAACCCGACCTGATTTTGACCTGAAAATAATTTTGGGTTAAGTGGGTCATTTTTAGGTTGAAATTTTCAACCTTAACCTAACCCATTTAATTTCGGGTCGGGTTCGTGTCAACCCATTTAAGTTTTCGGGTCGAAAATCTCAACCCAAACCCGCTATTTCAGGTCGGGTTCAGGTTGGGTTTTCGGGTTGGGTCAGTTTTTGCCACACCTAATATAAATAGTGCAAATGCAAACTGGAGCACTTAAATAAAAACAAAAAAAAAAAAATGTTATTACGCTTTAAAGTTTTTTGAATTAATTCATCCATTTATCTTAGAGGTGATCATTGGGCGAGTCGGGCTGGGCCGAAGCTAAAAAAGTTATGCCCACTTCTCGGACCGGGCCGGACCAAGCTTTGGGCCGGATTTTTTGTGCCCAAACCCGCCCAAATTGGTCGGGCCGTGCGGACTTTTTAGAGCAGGCCTAACAAATCAACTATATATGCATAAATACGCATTTCCAAACCCGACCAAAAAAATTAAATTTTGGGTCGGGCCGGGTCCAACCCGATTTTGGGCCAAAAAATCCTGCCCAAAACCAGGCTGGACTAACTTTGATCACCTCTAATTTATCTTCTCTAAACCATTCATGAAAACAAACATAGCCCAATTGTCACGAACAAGTACATAGTCGGATAGTCCAACCGATTTAATATGAAGAGTCGATTTTACAACTCATACTATGTCGGATTGTCGGTGTCAGAAACTTCACCAACGCAACCCCTTCTTATTCCTCTTCCCCTGCTTCTGAAAACCCAACTCACAACTTACAATGGTGAAGCAGAGTATTCTATGGCTTACTGTTACTTCTCTTTTCTTGTTCTCAGCTTCTGCTCTTGATACCCAAAGTAAGTTCTCTTCTCAATCTTCATTCCAATATTAGTTGTTGATCTTGAGTTATTAATAATGTTTTCTTCTTAGTTTATCCTAGCTGATCTTTTCTAATCTCTGCTTTTTGTAAATTAAATCTGGGATCTATTTATTTTTCTTGTATTTGTTTGTTTAATTTATTTGATTTACTGTTAGATTATGGATATTTTTTAGCTGGGTTAGAAGCCATTGCTAAGATTATCAATCAACTTATTATGTTGTTAAAGTGCAAGTATTGATTTTTTTTATTAAATTTTATAATTTTGATGAAATGGGTATGTTGGTAAAATGTCAATTTCCTTCCTATAAAAAAAAATAAAAAAAGCAGCTCTAAACTTGCTCTAAACTTTAGTATTAATCCGTACTACATTTCAATAATAAGTAGTGAAGTAGAAAAAATAAGAAAAATGTTGTGCAAATGATTTTGAAGGATAAAGAGTCCCAATATCCATCCATGATAGCACATGTTGTCAAAGTTGGAAAATTTTGGGTAGTTTTGTTGAGGTTTTAAGTAAAGAATTTTTTAGTTTAAGTGGGTTACAAGTTGCTTTACAAATGAACTAATTGCAATAAGCAAATAAAACTTTGAATTTCTTTTGATGGTTTTTCTAGTATATATGGAGTTGTAAGGGCATCGTATGCATTTGCCAATGTAGATTAATCATTTTTTCAACATTGAGTATAAGTAAGGATTGGAGGATTGTGTGGCTTATGGCCTTGAACTAGCTTATTCGACTAAGTTTAGGGTTTGGAATTATGAAAAATGTCTGTAAGACGAAATGTTAGTAATTTGAAGCTATTGTTGGATTGAAGGCGGAAATTGAAAGAAATCACTTGCGAGCATAAGAAAGGTTTTGCATTAATGAGAATTGAGGGCTTTAGTGCAAAGAAAAACCTCTATTGGTGATAGTGACACCAATAGGCATTAAAGACCTGTATAATCCTCCTCGAAAGTAAGACTGGTATTGGAGAGAGGCTCGGACTTGAATCAAAAGCTAGTTATCCTAGATAGGCAACTATAATTGTTTCAATTTCCTTTTGACATTCAAGAAAAATGATTGACTTTCTGAAAGATCAAAATGGTTGCCATCCTCCCTTTCCAAAAGAAACCTTTTCCAACCTTAATATTTGAGCCATTATCATTGAAGGTTTGATTCTAGGATTATGTTTTACTTCTAAGTTCTAGTAACATCTGTATACACTAAATTCTATCCCTTTCAACAAGAGAATTAGTAGCAATAGATATGCACATCTTCCTATGGAGTATGTACCCTATCTCTTGAGTTTATACAAGCATTTCTATTGCCAGAAGTCTTCATATTATGCAGTTGAATTTCGGTGTTTCCAATTTGTACTACTAAATTTCTTAAACAAATTATTAACAGGTAAAGTGACAAAAAATCCAGCTGACGAGCTTGTACAAATGCTGAATGATAATAGAACTGCACACCATTTATCAGCCCTCTACAGCAATCCTGGGTTGGCATGCATCGCTTTGCAATACATAAAAGCTTATGATGGAGATTGTGGCGACGTAGGTGGACCTAAAGCTAAGAAGCCTGAGGATTCTTCTTTTGCAGAGACATTTGCTCCCAATTGCAATGTGGAGCCTGCATCCATGACTCAAATCACGGGGCGCTTCCTGGGCTGCCAGTCTAAGTATCTTAAGCCTGAAAAAGCATTCTCAGAGATACTAATAAAGGAAAGCAAAAGCCTGAACATTCTCTACAGTAAGAACCACACTGAAGTTGGGGCTGCAGTTAGTGGGTCCGATGTTGGGGGGCCATATTTCTATTGCGTGCTCTTTAGCAATGGTAAATCTAACAGTAGCTTTGTTCTTGAGAACGGTGAGGCTAAAGTAAGTAGACCAGGTTGTTTCAGTGGTGCCAATGATTGAATGATGAATGTAACAGTGCTGAAGGTAGGTTTCACTTTTACCATTTGTTGAACCCTATTTTAAGAGTTTTGGCTGTTATTGGATTTGCTTTCGGCATATGATAATAATTCCTTTTGACATTTGTTCATTTTGATTATACTGATTGGCTTAAGTTTGGGGGGTGGGGGAGGAGAGAGGAGGGTGAGAGATTGTACTGTCAATTGACCGGAGTATGTTACAAATCATGAAGACAAGAGAATGAAAGAAATGCATATTATGATTTGAGAAAACTTGATCCAACTCTAATTTCTCCTTGTGCCTTGTCATTGGCAAAATTCATTATTTACTTCGTTAAATTTTAACGGTTACTATGTATGCTTTCAATCAGTTAAGTGTGTTTTTGGCATTTTTTTTTTCCAAGGAGCAAGAACATCTAAGGCGTCAACTGGGATGCTATTTTAATGGCTATGTGCCTATGTGGTTGTCTGATTAGTGCTTTTATTCGGAAAGAAATACAGTTTTGTATACGACAGCTACGGGTGTGAAACCATAAGATTCAGGAACACCATGAAATCCTAGCTCTAATTTGGTTGCTGCACAAAATGCCATACCCACCAACTGAAGATTTCTTCCCAAAGCCCAAACATTTTATACAATAGCTTCGGGTGTGAAATCATAAGAATCACTGTATCAGTGTCACCATGAATTCCAAGCTTTAGTTTGGTTGCAGCGCAAAGTGCGACAACCCCTTCCCAAAGCCCTAGAGAGCTAGCTGATGAAAGAGTTTGAGCTTCTTGAACTAGTATGTACATAAAAAAAAATAAAAATCACAATCAACTAAAGCCCCTACTCGCCTTACTCGGGAGGGAGTTAGTAAGATAGTAAGATACACACTTCATAAGTTACAGTATTAGAGTAAGCCCGGATACAAGAAACATAAGAACTCACTGAATCAAGCTGCCCTTGAATAACATGTGACTAATAACATTTGAACAATTATGAAACTGATAACTACATTAGAAAAGAAAAAGAAAAAAATAAAAAATAATCTCCTTTTAATGGGAAGCAATTTCATGACTTGTACTTCAAAACTAGAAGAAGAATGGTGAGGATGAGTATTATCCCACCCGAAGAACCCCCAACTCTGTGAATCCAGTAAGGATCGAACCTGTTCTGCTCCAGGTAGCAGGAGACAGATATGGCCAAAATCACAACCAGGAGCAGGAGAGGCAGGAGAAACGCCAAGTTGAATGTTTCTTCTTCTTCTTCCAGCTCACTCTCAGTTCTTCGATCGATATATAAAGGAGAGATCACAGCCACTATGGTGAAGATGATAGCTAAAAGTCTCTCATATGAAGAAGACCTGCTGCTTCTGCTTACTGCAGTTGTAGTCTCCATATTCAGAAATGCTATTGTTTTTTTTTTTTTTTCCTTCTGTGAAAGCCACCCCTCAAAGTTGGGAATATATGCTCAAGTTGTGCTACCTTAATAGTGGGCATCGGAAATAGTACATTAGGAAATTGCTATCTTATTGCTAAAAGCCTAAAACTCCTTTACAAAAGGAAAGGGTAGAATATTTGTGCAATTCTAATTATAATTTAGTATATACATGGTAAGATTTGGCACCTGACTATACCAGGCCCATCTCAACTCTCGACCGTGAAGCAAGAGTACAGCCAGGCCCAACAACATAGGCCGTGGGTCGCCTTTGCAGTCCCCATCCTAAAGCAGATAAAGAGGAACCCTTCCAGAGTATTGTATTCTTTAGAGCTTATTCAAGAAGATTGAAGTAGCAGTCAGCAGACTTGACACAGTTTTCAAATATTCATGGCTTTAGATTGGAATCAGATTCCTGCCTGCTCTATCTAGCACTTTCACAGATCACTGTTTAGTGCATATAGGCCTAATACTGTTACCGGAGCACATAACATAGTTAGCTCAGTCAATATGTTGATAGAAGAACATTATAGAAACAGTTTGAGATAAATTGAAATTACAGGTAAAATTACTGACTATAAAGATATCTAGCGCGCGTAATTTACAGAAATAACTAGTACAGAATTTGATCTTACAAACGCAAAATTAAAAATAAAATTCCACCAAATGCCGCAATATAACAACAAAAGAGCTTCTCATCAAGCAGAACTCTACAGATGCTTGCCATAAGTACCATCTTATTAGATATAGGTGGCTGTCGAATATTGTACGATGGTTAATTGGGACGATCAGAAGTACTCGAACTCTTACTCTGAATTCTTCTCTGCCACTTCTTCTGTGAGGCAGTAAGATCTGATAACCCTGGCTGGTCAGAACCTTCTTGAGAACCCATGGCTGGTGGAAGTTCAGCAGGAAGTGCAGCAGCTGCACTTGTAAAGGCATTCAGAACAAGGAATGCTAATATGGGCGACAAATCCAAGGTTCCTCCAATTGGTGGGATAAGTCCACGAAATATGTTCAAGTATGGGTCACACAGGGTGCTGAGAATCAAGAGTTAGTGGTTAATTTATGCACAAGGTGTTTTCTAAGATAATTGAAAAAAAATGTAAATATACCGAAATCAATGCTACATATGAAGTATATCATAGCAGGCATACCTGAGGGGACTAACTATTTGGGGGGGAGCACTTGGGAACCATGTCAAAACAAGCCTGACAACTAACAATGTATTGTAGATATTCAGAAAGTTCGAAATGCCATTTGCAACCACTAATCCTGCAACCGAATCACCAGGTAAAACAGCAGCAAAGTTGTGACTTGACAGAGTATTTAGATTTCTATGGCTTCTCCAGTGAACCTGAAACAAAGAGTTCACTAGATCATTTTGAATATAGGGTAAATCTTAAGCCTACAAATTTCAACACAAATAGTACTTCACCAAGCTCCCAAAGTTTTACCAATTCCTCAACCCTATGTTACGTATGATGCCAGATATCCAATTCCCTCTACCTACCTTACCTTCTTCAAGACCATCCAAGTTAATGAAAAGCAGCATCTTTAGAGTTTCATAGAAAATACACCAATAAGGCTGCTCTTTTTACCCTGTGTAAGGAACAGCTTTGAGAGAAATGGATATAACAATTTATTTCACAAATATGACCTTCTGTAGCTGAAAGCCCCCAAAGCATGTTGCTATATAGAAATATATTTAGTGAAGGGAGGAATTTCAATCAGTTTGTGCAGCTTGATGTATGAACTTACACATCAGAGTCCAACTAGCAGAGCCAGAACAAGAAAACAGCAAGTGAAGGGGCATTAGATAGAAAGGAAACTGTCAGCATTGGCAAGTCATTGCTTCTTTCTTTGTAAACTGTGCTTGAATGACTCTTGAAGGCCAAGGAAATTGGGTCCATGCAGCCAACTCCATCCTTTTGGGAATAAGGCTTTGGTTTTGTTGTTTTTGTGATAGATGATCAACACAACAACAGTGACAACTGCATCTATATTGTATCTTCTTGTTGGAGGGTGTCAGAAATAGATGTACAAAGCCCTGCCCCTAAGTCCATAACTCTATTAATGGAGAAAGAAGTCAGCCAAAGAGAGTACACAGATATGTAATTCTTGGTCCCACTCTAACTTGACTGTGACATTGTAAAAGGCTGAAGGCGTAGCTTCCCAGTTTCCTTTCCCCGAGGATTTTTACATAATACAGAGTAATCTTGCAAACTTATTTTGATTGTTTTTTACATACTGTCACCATGATCTGATAGAGAATATTTTAAGTGCACCTAACTAGTATGACTTTTGTTCAATTCACTTCCAACTTTCCAAGAATACTACTACAATCAAAAGAGTATTATATTGATTCTATTGAAATTCAAGTTTTGATAATACACCCAGCTTATTCCTTCTTTTCTCAGATATTCTTTCAAATTATTGCACCATAGTTGTACAACTAGTACCCTTGTCACCCTTGGAAGAATACTATAATGCTAAATTTAACTATATAGTAGACACAAGGGGGTGTCACTCTTATACATAAGAAGTGCTAAGGACAAAAATACTATGCCCTAGAGGCTAGAGCTATCATGAAGCAAGTTATCTACAGATATAAGAAGCCAAGATAAGAAATATATCAAAAGTAGATCAAAGGGACAGCAGCGTCACCATAAGGATTAAAAGTTCATGCCCTCAAGCTATGAAGCAAAAGGTTGTTATTAAAAAAGAACCGGCCAAAGGTTGTATTATTTTTGACAATTTTTCCTAATTAAATCAAAATCGATAGAAGGATCCTACTTAACTCCAACCATAAAAGCATAATTTAAGGAACTTGAAACATTAATAGGGAAGCTTCCAAAGTTATTTCCTTGAAAATCCATTGGGTTTCTTAGTTTCCAAATGCACCACCTAATTGCCAACTAAATCATCTTCCACACTTCGCCAAAGAATGCTATGATACATAATTCAACACACTTTTCCTTCAACCTTTACTAAAATCAGGATAGAGCATACATTTACATATAGTGATGAAATGCGCATTAGCTAATCTGAAGAAACATAAATTTTATTCACGTCAATTAATTCTCATTCTCTTCAAGGAAGTCGGGGCTACCCCATCCCCATGGACAATGCAACAGTGTCCTGAGGGAGGACCCTCAACCCTATGACATTGAACCACTCGTTCTCAAAATTTCGGCCAACAAACTCTTAATTCTAACAATTGCCAATTGCTTCACTAAAACGAGAACATTTCAAAATCTTATTTACCTCTACTCCGTATCAAAGATTCTTCAAACACATTGTACCCAACTAACTCATGTAACAGAAATACTTTGTATAACTTTAGGCAATTCAAAGAAAATTTCCACTAACATCCACTCAGGAAAAACTAATATTAGCACCTACAGGTTACATCAAATCTACTAAACACACAATTGTTAGGCCCTTAAGGAGAAATACACTCAAGCGCGCTACACGAAGCATTTTTAACTGCAAACAGCTGATTCTATATATAAATGTTTGGGTTTTTGTATATGTAAATTCACTCATTAACAATCTTCCTCAAAAAAATAGACTATGAATCAAATTCATGAAAAACAAAATATACCCACCAAGGAATAACATTCAATTAATCAATATGAGTTGAATAATCAATCAAAAACAAACTAAAATTGCAGAAAATTATTCATAATTAACATACATAAAATCCAAAATAAAAGTTATAAACAGCATTGATTTTACCTGAGAGAAATTCTGGAGATGGGAAGAGAATTTGAGGAGATTATTGAAAAGGGGGTTCTGGGAAGCAGAAAAGTGAAGAAACTGGAGGAATTTATCGGCATTTGAAGCGATTGTTTTGTGAAAATTGTGAAGAATTTCAACAGGAGAGAATGCAAGAACTGCAGTTGAAGTGGGTTTGAAGAAGAATTGTTGAGGACTGAAAGATGGTG